CAATCAACATAGTTCATCACATAAGTAAAATAAAGGAAAAGAATCACATGATCATATCAATAGATGCAGGAAAGGCATTTGATAAAATTCAACACCCATTCCTGATCAAAACTCTCAAAAAGAAAGAGGCATAGAAGAGAAATTCCTCAACATAATAAAGGGCATATATGCAAAACCAACAGCTAATATTATTCTCAATGGAGAGAGACTAAAACTGTTCCCCTTGTGAACAGGAACAAGACAAGGATGCTCTCTATCTCCACTTCTATTCAACATTGTATTGGAAGTCCTAGCCAGGGCCATAAGGCAAGAAAGGGAAATCAAAGGCATCCAAATTGGTAAGGAAGAAGTCAAACTATCCCTGTTCACAGATGATATGATCCAATACATAGAAAACCCAAGTGATTCAGCAAGAACAGCACTGGAATTTATTGAAAGACTTAGCATAGTGGCAGGATACAAGATCGACATACAAAAATCAGTTGGATTCCTCTATGCCAGCAAAGAGATTGCTGAAAAGGAAATCAATACCATTTACAATAGCTTCCAAAAAGATAAAATACTTATGAATAAATCTTACTAGAAACACAAAAGACCTGTACAAAGAAAACTACAAAACACTACTTCGAGGAACTATATGAGATATGCATAAATGGAAGAATGTACCATGCTTATAGATAGGAAGACTGAACATTGTGAAAATGTCAATAGTACCCAAAGTAATCTATACATTCAATACAATCCCAATCCAGATTCCATCAGCATTCTTTAAATACATGAAAAAAACAATCACTAATTTTATTTGGAAAGGAAACAGACCTTGGATAAGCTATTGAAGAAGAAGAACAAAGTAGGAGGTCTCACGCTCCCAGATCTCAAAATCTACTACACAGTCACAGCAGTCAAAACAACCTGATATTGATACAATAACAGACACACAGACCAGTGAAATAGAATTGAGAATCCAGACAGATCCATCCACCTATGGTCAGCTGATCTTTGACAAACGCCAGAATCCATTAAATGGGGAAGAGCTGGTCTTTTTTTTAGCAAATAGTGCTGGCAAAACTGGATATCCAGATTACAGAAAAATGAAACAAGATCCATACCTCATACAATATACAAAAACTAACCACAGATGGATCAAGGACTTAAATATGAAACCTAAACCTATGAAGTTCATCAAAGAAAAAATATGAGAAAACTTAATTTATGGCATAAATAGACTATCATGCATAATCCAAAATACACAAACAGCAGAAGATAAACTAGATGATTGAGACCTCATAAAAATTAAATTCTAATGTGTCTCAAAAGACTTCTTTCAAAGAGTAAAAATAGAACTACAGATTGAGAAAAAATATTCAGCAGTGACATATCTGACAAAGGACTTCTCTCCCTAAAATTTATAGAAAACTCCATCTCCTCAACAGTAAAAAGACAAACAATCCAATTAAAGAATGGGCAGAAGACATGAACAGACACTTTACCAAAGAAGATATTCAGTCAGCCAACAAACACGTGAAGAAATGTTTATGATCATTAGCCATTCCAAACCATTAAAGAGATGCAAATCCAAACCACAATGAGATACCATCTCACCCTAGCATTAATAACAAAGTTCAATAAGACTGAAAATAACAAATGCTGATGTGGAGAGATTGGGACTCTCAAACACTGCTGGTGGAACTGTAAAATGATACAACCACTGTGCAAATCAGTATGATTATCCCTTAAAAAGTTGGAAATAGAAATACCATTTGATCCAGCAATCCCATTACTAGTAAATATCCTAAAGAAGTGAGAGGCAGGAATAGATATAGGCATACCCATGTTCATCACAGCACTATTCACAATAGCAAAGCAATGGAAACTACCTAAGTGCCCATCAATGCAGGAATAGATTACTAAACTGTGGTACATACACACAATGGAATACTATGCAACACTGAAGAATAATGTAGAATTTGCAAAACACCATATAACATGGATGAACTTGGAGGATATTATGCTGAGTAAAATAAGTCAATCACAGAAGGATAAATACTGTATTAGTCTACTATTGTAAAAAGTCAAGGAAATGTTTATATATGGAAGGGAACTTTCCTTTTCTTTGTTGGTTACAGGGGGGAGGAATTCCTAGATAGGTTGGGAGGCAAATTATATATATATGTATACCAAAGATTATTAGTGGTTACCAGGGGTAGGAGGGTGAGGGAAAGGGGAAGCTTTTGTTTTCTGGGCATTGAGTTTATGCTAATGGAGGTAGAATATTTTGGAAAAGGATAGCAGTAATTGTGGCATGGCATGAGAAATGTCATCAGTGTCCCTGAGCTAGAACTGTGAAAGTTGTTATGTTGGTGAATGTCCTGTTGTATATATTTTTACCACAATAAAAGTGAAAAAAGGAAAAAAAAAAAAAAAAAGATGTTCTAGCCTGAAAAAAAAAAAAAAGGATGGCTGTGAAATATTCTGGTTTTGAGGTGATTTAAGGCATGAAAGTTGGTTTTAGAAAATGGCATATTACTATCTTAGCAGTCATCTGAGAAGGAATTTCTTTCTGTAATGTTGAGATGTGACCCAGCATATTAGTATCAGTGAGTCTGGGTAATAAAATGCCTATTGTGAAGTTTGAATGGATTTCCAAGTTACCTTCCTATTACCTCTTCTTAGTGAGATATAGCTAAGTAGGAGCTGGTCACTGCTTTTCATTTGCCCTTCTTTCCTTTGTCTCTCAAAGCACAACGGAGCCATTGATAGTATTCCAGTGCAAAGTCACCCTTGGAAATATATGTTTCCATAGTAAAAGGGAAGCCAAAGGAATCCAGAGTCATAGTGAAATCTCCCAAGAGATGACACAGGTAAGGGTTTCTGGCTCTACGTCCTCATTCTAGACAGAGTATGCCATAGTTTATGTTTCCTCTAAGAGAGGGATGCTGTTGTTGTTAGCTGCCATTTAATCAGCTCTGACTCATAGTGACCCCACGTATAACAGAACAAATGTGACCATGAACATTGGTGTCCTTGAGTCCATTGTTGCGGCCACTGTGTATTTTGATTGCCTTTCAACCTAGGGGACCCATCTTCCAGCATTATATCGAAGAACATTCTATTGTGATCCATAAAATTTTAACTGACTAATTTTTGAAAACAGATCAAGTTTTTCTTCCTAGTCTGCCATAGTCTGGAAGCTCCACTGAAACCTGTCCACCGTGGATGATCCTGGTGGTATTTGAAATATTGGTGGCATAGTTTCCAGCACCATAGCAACTTGCAAACCACCATGTTGTTGTTATGTGCTGTCAAGTCGGACCCGACTCATAGTGACCCTTCCTTGGGTTTCCGAGGCAGTATCACTACAGAAGTAGATTGCCCCATCTTCCTTCTGAGGAGTGGCTGGTGGGTTTGAACCGCCAGCCTTCTGGTTAGCAGTCAAGTGCCTTAGCCACTATGCTACCAGAGCTCCTTATAGTACAGCAAATTGACCTTCAGCCATAAGCCAGTGCTTTCCCTTGCTGGCTGACCCTGGTCCCAGAGTGTTGCTCAGCATCTTTCTTGTGTCCTTAAGATGCTGTAGATTATTCTAGCCACACCTATCAGAAGCTGTTATTGCTTATACTCCCCTACAGTAGTCAAGGGAATGCTCTCTCAGCCTATATATTTTCCAATTGAGTGTAAATATGGTTATAAAATGGAGCTTTCTTTCACTCATTATTTAGGGATATCAGCACATTTGGAGTCTCCCTGTAGCTCCTTTCTATGACAGTGCATACCATTTTCGTGTAGCTGCACCGGTAAGCTTTCTCTTCTACTTCTTCTTCTTCTTCTTTTTTTTTTTTTCATTTTCTTTTCAATGAGAAACAAATGCGTGTGTGTATATGCATATACATATATATATATATCTACATATATACATATGTAGATATATGTAGATCTATACATATACATGTGTATATGTATATATATAAACACATACATATGTATATGTGTATCTGTGTATATATAAACACTTCAACTACAGTTAAGCTTACATTAATCTTTCTTTTCTTCTGTTCTGACAGGATTTAGCTGACTGTTCAACGGATCCTTATTTTGCTGGGATATTCTTTACAGATTACTTCTTTTACTTTTATCGATACTGTTCCTAATTTATTCAAGTTTGGTTGGAAACTCTACAAAGAAAAATATTCAAAATACATTTATCAGAAACATATATCCTCTTTAAGCTCCTTTTTTTTTGTGAAACGTTCACATTTATTGCTAAAGGACTTTTCTAGGCTTTGGCTTCCAACAGTTTTGAGACATTAATGAGAATAAAGTGTTTGCTAGAACTTGAGATAATATGGTGTTTGAGTTTTCCCTGACTATAAAGAAAACATTTCCTGAAGTAAACAGTACTCTTGAATTTGAATATATTGCTTCTGGTATTAAAGAAGCTGTGAGGTCAAAATAGGCAGCTCCAACTTTCTTTTGCTTGATATATTTCAAAGCTTTTGAAAAAGAATAGAGACTTACTTTAGCTGGGTCAACTTGGACCCAATAACATGGACTTAGTTGAGAATATGTGACACAGTGTGTGTGTTTGAGGTGTGGAGTGGGTGGTGTCTGATGCTGAGTTCACATTTAGGCAAACTATTTCAAATGTATACATATACAGTAGCAGAGGGCAGAGTGTAACTTGCTGATAAAATAAAGAGAAATAGTTGCAGCTCTGCTTTGTGATGCTTGATTGACACTAAACTTTCTGTGAGGGTGGAATAAGCCTTCTTGTGAAGATGGAAGTACTATCTGGTGACACAGATTTTAGGTAGCTTAGCCAGTGTAGCCACCACTCATCTGTCAGTTGCATTGGACATTCCAGTTAGTTTTGCTTCTGTGTTTTTGTTTCTTCCCATCTACATATGAAAGATCCTCTAATAGAGCATCTCAATTCTTTACTGCTGAGTTAGGTTCAGATACTTTTACCTGGGTTATGAGTGGGTTTGTGTACCCTTCCCAGCTCAGAATGGCCAGAAATCCTCTACCTGGAGATCTAAGCCAGTTTAACTCTAGTTGCAGGTCACAGGGCTGCTGTTATCTTACTATTGGTCTGTGAGTCGATTAACCAAAAAAAAAAACAAACTCACTGCCATCAAGTCGAACCCGACTCATAGCGACCCCTTCTTGGGTTTCCAAGGCAGTATCACTTCAGAAGCAGATTGCCCAACCTTCCTCCCGAGGAGTGGCTGGTGGGCTTGAACCACCAGCCTTCTGGTTAGCAGTCAAATGCCTTAGGCACTACATCACCAGAGCTGGAACAATTGGATTTTCTTTACCTTGGCAGTGGTAAATAGGAGCAATAATACATCCTCCTTTTCTTTTCAGATTTGATTAAACACGTGCCAGGTAGATGGAAATTAATTGGGAGACTCCAACTACTAAAAAAAGTCACAATCCTTGCTGTTATTGATGGCATTTTCAAATGAACTTATTAACACAAGCTTGGTTAGTTAAGTTCTGGTAGCACAAGTGGTTAAGTGCTCAACTACTAGTTGAAAGGTTGGCAGTTCAAACCTACCCAGAAGTACCTCAGAACACAGACCTGGCCATCTGCTTCCAAACGCTCACAGCCTTGAAAACTCTTCGGAGTAATTCCACTCTGCACACATGGGGTTACCATGAGTTGGAATTGACTCAACAGAACTAACAGCAGCAAAAACAACCTGGTGATTAGGAGCTGAGGCTCTAGAGCTGGACAGTCCTTTCCTTGAGCTCCAATCTTGATTTTATCTGTATGTCATTAGGCAAGTTACCTACCTTCTCTAAATCTCAATTTCCTCATTTATAAAAGAGGGCAAAGCAACAGGCAGGATTAAATCGGATAAAATAAAAAGCACATGATAGGTTCTAAAATATGAGCTGTTGTTAAAGAAGCCCTGGTGGTACAGGGGATAAAGCATTTGACTGCTCACCAGAAAGTCAGCTGTTTGAACCCACCAGCTGCTCCATGGGGAAAAGATGAGGCACGCTGTTTCCATAAAGATTTACAGCCTTGGAAACCCTGTGGGGCAGTTCTTCCTATCCTATAGGGTCTCTATGAGTCAGAGTTGATGCAACAGTAGTGGGTTTGGTATTGGTTTATTGTGGTTAAACTAGCACAGAGTAGAATCATTGTAAAGATTATAATGGGATAATAAAGGAGATTAAGTAACTAGACACATTGAAGCATTTTGGCCAACTGTAAAAGCCAAAGTGCTGATAGCATGTAAATTCCATAATGTTTATTTTTTTCTATATTTGGAAAATTGACTTCCCTTCTATTAACAGCATAGCCTTTGTAGAAAATGAAATGAGATGGTTATTTCAAGGTTAGAATATTTCAAGATTCTTTCATTTACTTAGATTCAACCTCGTTCAAACTAGGTTTCCCTGAGTTGCAGAGCCAGCCTGTCCAGCATGACCCAGGTCTAGGCACTGTAGTTATCACTCCATCTTTTAATAGAACCCCAGGTGTTTGGTGTGACAAAATCAAAGGGATGCTTGTCAGCAGCCTAGTCGCAAGAGTTCTTTTCAGCACACGCATCTCACGCTCTTCTTTTTCATGCATTTAGTTTCTGGATAATGTGGGGTTTCAGACACCAAATGTAATTCAGTAATGTTGCCTGTAAGGGGATTTCTGCAGAATGAGTACTGTTTTTCCATTAAATCCATGAAAAAAAAAACTGGAATATTTTTTCCTACAGCAAACCTTCTGCAGGAGATTATGCTGAAAACCTTCAGAGAGAAAGGATTTAAGATAGCGAGCAAATACATCCGTGGCAGCCAATGGCATGCTGAGATTAATTAACGATAGATTTTGCTGGAATATTTTTGTTTGCTTGCAGAACTTTCCCAGTTGTGAAATGTCCTCCCCACTATAAATAACATAGCTTTGGAACAAAATCTTTCCCTTCTGTTGGAGAATTAATTATTTGCCTCTTTGGAATATACCCTAATTCAAGGTATTAAAACGTCTATAAGAGTCTTCCTTCCAAAAATCCATAACCAGTCTAACCATGAGAAAAATACCAGACAAATACTGATCTAGAGACATGCTACAAAATGCCTAGCTAGTACTGCTCAAAACTGCCAAGGTCATCAAAAACAAGGAAAACCTGAGAAATTTTCACAGCTGAGAGGAGCCTAAGAAGACATGATGACTAAATGTAATGTGGTATCTTGGATAGGATCCTGGAACTGAAGAAGGACATTAGATGAAAACTAAAGAAAAACTGCAAAAGACCTCTTTCAAGTGCTGAAGAGCAAAGATGTTCCTTTGAAGACTAAGGTGCACCTACCCCAAACCATATTATTTTCAATAGGCTCATATGCATGTGAAAACTGGACAATGAATAAAGAAGACCGAAGAAGAGTGGATGCTTTTGAGTTGTGGTGAAGAGTACTGAAAATACCATGGACTTCTAGAACTAACAAATCTGTCCTGGAAGAAGTGCAGCCAGAATGTTCCTTGGAAGCAAGAATGGCCAGACTTGGTCTCACTTACTTTGGTCGTGTTGTCAGAAGGGACCATTCCCTGGAGAAGGATATCATGCTTGGTAAAGTGGAGGGTTATTGAAATAGGGGAATTCCTCAATGAGACAGATTGACACAGTGGCTGCAACAATGAGCTCAGGTATAGCAAGGATTGTGAGACTGGAGCAGGACCGGGCAGTGTTTTGTTCAGTTCTACAGAGAGTCGCTCCAAGTCAGAGCCAACTCGACAGCACCTAACAACAACAAAGAAAACTGAATAAAGCATGGATTTTAGTTAATGGTAAGAAGCCTTAGTGGTGCAGTGGTTAAGCAATTAACTGCTAACTGAAAGGTCAGTGGTTCAAATCCACTAGCTGCTCTGAAGGAGAAAGACGTAGTGGTCTGCTTCTGTAAAGATTATAACCTTGGAAACCATGGGGGCAGTTCCACCCTGTCTTACAGGATTACTGACAATTGACTCGACGACAATGGGTTTAGTTTTTTGTTTCAGTTAATGGTAATGTATTACTATTGGTTCATTTATAGTGACAAATATACCATGCTAATTAATGTAAAATGTTACTAATAGGGAAGACTGGGTGTGGGGTTTATGAGAATTCTCTGTACTATTTTTGCAATTTTTCTGTAATCTGAAACTATTTTTAAAAAGTTTAGTTTTTAAAAAGTCTGGAAAAAAATGTCTGACTCAACAGTAGGAAAACAACCCAGTTACAAAATGGGAAAAAGGTCTAAACAGACATGTCATCAGAGAAGATATACAGATAGCAAATAAGCATATGAGAAGATGTTCACATTATATGCTAGTAAGGAAATGCAAATCAATACAGCAATGAGATACCACTACCTATTAGAATGGCTAAAATCTGAAACACTGACAACACCAAATGCTGGTGAAGATGTGGAACAACAGGAACTTCCATTCATTGTTGGTAGGAATGGAAAATGGAACATCCACTTTAGAATACTACAGTCTTCAGTATAGATTGCACCTTAACATAAAGAAAACAGAAATCCTTACAACTGGATCAATAAGCAATATCATGATAGATCGAGAAAAGATTGAAGTTGTTAGGTATTTCATTTTGCTAGAATCTACAATCAATGTTCATGGAAGCAGCAATCAAGAAATCATAGGACATATCATACTGGGCAAATCTGCAAAAAACCTCTTTAAAGTAAAGTGTTAGATAGCCAAGAAGTCAGTTTGTAGATTAAGGTATGCCTGACCCAAGCCATGATATTTTCAATAACCTCATATGCATGTGAAAGCTAGACAAGGAATAAAGAAGACTGAAGAAGAATTGATGCCCTTGAATTGTGGTGTTGGTGAAGAATACTGAAAATGCCATAGATTGCCAGAAGAACTAACAAATCCTTGGAAGAAGTACAGCTGGAATGCTCCTTAAAAGTGAGGGTAGCCAGAGGCGGGGCAAGATGGCGGACTAGGCAGAAGGATTGCACAGACCCTCTTCAACAAAGAAAAGGGAAACCAATAAATACAGA